GAAAAATTTCTTTTCTTTTTAAAAAGTAAATCTAAGTTGAAATTAGCTTGAAGAAGCCTAGAACTTCTTGGAAATGGTTTTGTTTTGTGTGGTTTGTTATTTTGTATATTTAAGCTTTCTATAAATATTTAAAACCGAAAATCGATAACTGTATTTTTATTAAGTTTATATTTAATACATAAATATTTAAAATTTAGCGAGCGCATTACTTTTATGACAGGTGTTGCATCACTTTTCACAATGTATTTAAAGTCGCACGTCAATTTGCGCTTTCTAATCGATTAAACATTGCGCGAAAACGTCAGAAATATTATATCTAATTTTAATTTTATATTTTGTAAGCCATTAAACTTGAAATCTATTAGTATTAAGAGAATTGCATCTTATGTTTGTAACGCTTTAGTATTTTGGTTTTAAAATAGCATTACTAAATAGACTATAAATTATCTAAAAATTGTCTACAAGACTAAATAAAAACAAATGGTCTTGTAGCATTCTAGAAGGGTTACTTGAGAAAAAAGATAAGAATCACTCTTAACACTACCTACAGATAGTTTCTCAAAGCACTCTTGTGATCTACTAATAAAGTTGTGCCCACTTTTACTTTAAATTATCTAGAAACCTTCTTCGAGATATCTTGAGGGATTTGAACTCTTAAAATATTCAATCGAATTAAATTCTATTACATATCTTATAGTATATGTTTAGATATGGGTGTGCTGCTTGGGAATCCACGCGACGTTCTTTTTGCTCATCGTTAAATTTGTGCGGAACCCATATCGAACAACGCTTATGGAGGGACAGTTGCCCGTGAATAATAATAATATAATATTAATAATGTACTTATTTCTCTCCACAAACATAACAACTGAACATGAACAAAAGTAAGATAGACAAAAATAGTGTTTATATTATGTTTGCAAAAGACTGGTACCTAAACTAAGCATAAGCTTGTAATATAGGATACCAGGTCTTTCACCACAGACAACTTTCTCTTTCTCTTAATACTATGATTGCAGAGGTTAAAATTAAGTTTAAGACTTTTGTAGTTAGTTTTAGAATTTAAATGTAGGAACTAACTAAACTAATAATACAGTTTGAAAGTTTGTGCACTATGTGTGGGTGTGGGTGTGTGTGTGCGTGAGTGTGTGGTTGTAGTGGTTGTGAGTAAAGGGTTTTGTATATTAATAACTTAGGCTTTAACAATAAGAAGTTCCTCAACTTCATCGTAACTGCGTCCTAACAACCATTTCGTGATTAACGCTCTTGCTTCATGTATAGTGAGGAGTAAAATGTTTAATTTATTATTTAAAAAATTATAAAGACGACTACTCTGTAGTAGAAGAATCTTTGCGCAAACGAAGTTCTAGCGAAAGAGTCTTCGATTGGTAGACACAGAAGAATTTCTAGAAGGTGAAGTGATTGAGTGTTGACGCATTAAAGTCAGAAGCAGGTACAGTTGCCGTACTGACAGCACGTTTGCTTCCGGATATAGTTGCGATGTAGGAAAAAGTCGGGGTTTTAGATGTGCAACCTTCAGCAAACATCTTTGTGCTCGTTAGACTGTTTTTAGTAGTTCCACCCAAGACGTAATGCAATACGTAATTACTGATTGTACTAGCGCTAGATACACATTTCGCAAAGTTTTGCTGTCAGTGACTTGTCTAAGGTGTTGAGTTTCCGAATTCTTTAAGACAAACTTTGAATATGTAGATAGAAAGAGAGATTGTTATCAATAGTGATCCCAAGATAGCGTATGGTTTGTATTTTGTCAATACTTTTACAGTTGCAGGCAGTAGTTGGGGGAAATGAGCATGTATATATATTTCGTTTTGAGCTACAATGAGCGTTACAGAGTTTGCTGCTAGCCAGTGACTGACTACATTTAAACCTTGTTGGGCAGATACGAACACACCATCCCAGGGGTCACCATAGAATGTGTTGTGTCATACGCATAAGCAATTATTTTACAATTTGGTAGTTGTAGTTAACAGATCTCATTTATTTAGCATAAAAAGAGGGTTGGGCCAACAATACTACCTTGCGGGACACCATGTGTAATAGGGAGCTCATCACTGAGGTAGTCACCAAGTTTGACACGCTGAGTTCGATTTGTCAGGTATTCCGTCAATAATTTTAACTGTGTTCCTCTAATGGCAATCTTTTCCAGCTTCCCTATCAGGTTTGGAATTGAGATCGTATCGAAGGCCTTTGCGAGGCAATGAAAATAGTAATATACACTTCTTACCACTGTCAAGCTTTTTAACTAAAAAATCTGTAAAATCATGAACCGCATGATCCGCAGATATGTTTTTCCTAAAGCCATATTGAGCCTTCGCAAGAATGTGTTTGGTTTCAAGGTAGTTGACAAGTCTTTTATTGATAACACGCTCAAAGATTTTATCGTGAATAATAGTTTGTAATGCTGCTGATGCCATGCCCAGTTCTTGCTCAATCTCTACATATGTAGTTCGTCGGTCTTCACGAATTACTTTT